CCCCCCCCCAACCGGTAGTGTATTCAATCTACCGGATCTCACTCCTCCGCTTGACAGTACTAGCTGCTGACACAATTCGATTATAGTTTCAGCAAATTTTTAGTACTAGGTGTGTTTTACTGTTAAATGTATCATCTGCTCATAGTGCTGTTTACTTTATAAAATTAAAAGAAAACCATCCCAAAGTGGGACGGGCAAGAAAGTAGGTCGCGGAGCCCCTACTTGAGGTGCACCTGGCCCACCTGGCCCATAGCTGTGGTCGGCATCACAGATTGACAGTGTAGCCTTGCCTGCCTTCAGTGGCCCACCTTCCCTTCCCTGGGCGCAAACAACAGGGGCGCGCTGGGCTGGCGTCGCCCCCTCTCAGTCCAGGGGCCGGGGCCCCTTAACGCAAGCCCCGCTGATACGTCTTCATTTGACGCGCCAAAGGGTTAGCAACCACCTGTATCCCTCCCTCCCCCGGCCCACTCCCTCTGGTTGGACGCCACACTGCCCCCGCCGGCCCCGAGGCCCCGAGCCCCCCAGGGGGTAGCGGAGCGGGATGGAGTCCCCCGGTCCCCGTGGCGCTGTCGCACATGAAGCCGCCCCCCAATTCCCCTCCCTCTCTCTCTCTCGTGGGCTGCCCCCCACCCCCTCCTCCGCCCCCACTGACAATGATCGAAAGCAGCCCCTCAGCGTTATCAACACCCTCACGGTCACGTGGTGGGGAGGAGCGCTCTGGAAAAGGGGGCAAAGGGGTGCAATGGAGGCCGTGGGGCTGGCAGCCGGGCACAGCCGGGCACAGCCGGGCACCGCCGGGCACCGCAGGTTCAGGGGCTTCATTATTATCTGCCCTCCTCTCTCCAACTCCCCCTTGGCCAAGAATTCACCACCACCACCCACCCCTACCGTCACCACCCGCCACTCTCTCCCTCCACCTCGGTGCGCTCCGAGGGGGTCCTCACAAATATTGTTTGGCTCGCGCACATCTAGATTAGCCCAACCTTCGCTCGGTGACGAGAGAGGCCCGAGCCCGGCGCGCGCGCGCGTGCAGCGCCATATACCCGGGCAGCACTGCCATTACAAGTTTTAAAATAATCATTGTGATTTATTTCTTTCGTCAGAGGGTAATAACACCTACTAGTCCGTAGCAGCTCACACTGCGAAATTAAAGTGTATACTTGGCACACTGATGGTAATATACCCAGCGTGCATGGAAAGCACGCTACGACACGCTCCTTGAAACCCGCAAGACCGCCGCGTACTTATGTCGGAGCAATGCTCGTAATAAACCCGTTTTGAGGAGCTTTCAAACGGACGCGCCGGGTAACCCGCCGACTAGGCAACCCATTCGGCATCTTGATGATGGGTTCGGGCGAGGGGGCAGAGGGGCGTGTGTTGTGAGCTGTGGGCGCGTGGTTGATCCGAGCGAGCCCGGCCCGCACCGGCGCACCAGCCCAGTCAAAGCGAGCGTGCGCGGATTTTGTTTTCGCGGTGCGCGAATTCAAGCCCATGTGGCGTGATCGTCGCGTTTCGACAACCAGCTAAATACGAACTGTTCAAAAGTGTGTTAGATTCGGTTTGTGAAATCTGTGCGATGAGAAACAAACGCGCATATACACTGCATAACTTTCTTGTTGACAAAAAAGCAGGTGAGGTTATGTTTCCGGAGTATTGAGAGAAGTGTACATCTGTGTAGTACTTTATTAATTCTTAAAAACTGAATGTAATATGATTTCCATTCTACGAGAGTTATTGTTATTCTTATTCTGTGTCACAGAATCTCAAATACTCTCAAAGCTTTGTACAGTCTGTAGCGAGGTCTGTAGTATATTTCTGATGACTTTGGTATTTGGTTGTTCTTGTCAATCTAATTAGGATATAAATAGTTTTAGCCTTTTCTGCAGGTTTGTTGTGATTTTTGCCGGGAATTTGAAAAAAAGGCTACTTTGATTAAAGAGAATTTGTTTCGTTCACTGGCTACCAACGTATATGAAGCGGAGCTTCTTTTACATTGGGGTCTGTCTCTAAAAGTTCTTTTTTCAATGGCATTGTGTATGTTTGATCTTTAATGTATGCGGTAAATGATCAGATACAGTACTTTTTAAACTTAGTGTCCAGGGTAAGAAACGTTGAACAAAAACATAATTCAAATAGGTCCCAACTGGTAGATGGTAGTTTGATTTCCTGTGGGAACTGTTTTATCTCGTATCTTCTAGATACATGGCAGCATCGAGTACACTGGGCAAGTGGACTTTTCTCTGACCGCTCTTGGCTCATATTGCAGGCTGAAGCCTCCCCCCATGTCTTGACTCATCTTCCATGAGTCACGGCGCCCAGCTGTGGCGCCCCTGCGCCCCTCCCCCTCTCGCTGACGCCCCCGTTGGACCGTGGACTTATTGGGATTGATAGCGGAGTGGAGGGGGTGTGGGGGCACGGGGAGGGCAGGGGGGAGGACGTGAAATGAAGCCGGCTTATTGCCATGTGACTGAATTTGTAGCGCCCCCCCCCCCTCTTCCCCGTCCGACACGACCG